ACTCCCAGAATTCCCCAGCCAGCTGGGGAATTCTGGGAGTTGAAGTCCACACATCTTAAAGATGCCAAGGTTGAGAAACAGTGTGCCGGAGGAAGAGCTCTAAATGAAATAAATAAAGTACAAATGTCATGTCTATGGAAAATATTATTAAGCGTATTCTTCCTGTATCTGAAATACTAATGGGGACACCATGGAGTCTGTGTTCCTAGGGGTCAGTCAGGAAGAAGTTAGGGGCAGTGGAAGGATCACTACAGAAGGGGAGAATCACTTCCATTTTAGAGGCTGGAAATATTTATTTATTATGCTTTTATTGTGTTTCCACTTAAAAGCAGTTTACAGTAAAATGGAAAGGAATTGATTTATTTAACAGATTTCCATCTGATTCTTCAAGATTTTTTTTCCCCTTTGAAAGCATGTTTTAAAATAATGCCTTTTTCTTCAGAGCCTGTTAAGCCTAACCTGCTTGTTTATATTTTTAGAAGAGCTGCTGCCTTCTTCCTTCCTTCTCTTTTCCCTTCAATAGATTTTAGACCAAAGTATTTTCTTTTGACTAACTAGTGATGGGAAATCTTTTATTTATTTACTGAAGTTCTAACAGTTGATGTATTCTGCTGACTGATGATAATGCTGCTGCTTCTACCGATCTAGTTTTCTTTTTATAAAATGAACTTTGATTATTTCATAAACATAACTCTGTAATTCTCCGTAACTCTCCCAGAGAAAACAGTTCAGTTCAGTTATACACCATCACTGTATCGCAAATGCAACTGCAGATAGAAAATAACTATTTTTTCTGATATGGTCCCAAGATGTTCTAAGGCAATGTTTCTCAATCTTGGCAACTTTAAGATGTGTGGACTTCAACTCCCAGAATTCTCTATTGAACAGTGTTTCTCAATCTTGGCAACTTTAAGATGTGTGGACTTCAACTCCCAGAATTCTCTATTGAACAGTGTTTCTCAATCTTGGCAACTTTAAGATGTGTGGACTTCAACTCCCAGAATTCCCCAGGCTAGAGAATTCTGGGAGTTGAAGTCCACACATCTTAAAGTTGCCAAGATTGAGAAACACTGTTCAAGGTACTTTCCTGATGTAATGCTTTCCAGGTATCTCTGCATGAAAACCTTAAAAATTGACAGCTGCTCTGGCCTCAAAGTTTGGCTTTTTCGAACAGGAACAAGCCAGAAATCCAGCTGAGATTCTATGCCAATCAAATCATGGAAGACCTCCTTTTGTTTGTTTCATCAGTTCCTTGGGAAGAGGAACCAAACAGGAGCAATTAAATCATAGTGCCTTAGCATACTGCTCAATGTGCTGAATCTGCCTTCTGGCTTAGCTTGATGTCTGAACATTGACAGTCATTGGCCCAAGGAGATACATATAAGAGTAGAAATTTGAATTCAGTTCTCTCAAGTCCTAGTGCCTGTATATAAAGGGAGAAGAACTCACCATCCAGGGTTTCTTGATCTTCCAGCAGAACTGGCCAACTTTGGCAATGGTGAGGGATTGTAGAGTCCTTGGGGTTCTCTGAGCTTGGTTGTTTTCTTGCAGACATTTCATTACCCAACTAGGTAACATTTTCAGTGCTGGGAAGGGATGCTGGGACATATAGCTATCAGCAACAGGAGAGTTACAAACTTCTCATCCCCTGCTGCAACTACCTGACCATGACAGCTGTTGTGGCTTTATATGCTATGAACACAGTCATGATCTAAATTCAGTGACTATTTGTGTTGACACAGCCCATTTCTGCATCAAAATGTATGCCTTTGTTTGTTTATGATTATTGTCATCATTTGACAGAGAGATTTCGAGATCAGCTGCTGCTACATTCAAGCTGGGATGCCGAGATTCTGCCAGTTTTCCAGCAAAGATGTTATCCTAAGTGAGTAAATGCTGTTTGCCCCAGAAAGAATTCACTTTTAAAATAGGGAGCTTTTGTTATGATCCATGGTACAAAGTGAAGAGGGGATTTCTTCTGGAAGATAATTGATGGATGGATCAGCATCTCGTGGGCACCTACATTGGTGAGATGCACATTATTTTGCTTGACCCTGCGTGTTTAAAGAACAAACACGTGCTTCTTGGTATGATTTATACATATGAGAGAGTTCAGCTTCTCCTGAAATAGATTCTGGATAATTTTGGTTTACAAATTCATACATTTTGAAGAAATATATACAAACCTACATATGAAATAGGTTTGCTAGAATCATTATGTCTTCAAATAGATGCTAGAAATCAGTTTTGACTAAACGCACACAAATGTTTCTACTTCTGATGTTATTATTGCTGTAGTTGCTGTTGTTATCCTTCAGTCCTTCCATTCATCCATCCATAGCATTGGGTTAAGAGTAGTTGGCCTTTTTAATTCCTTTTTACTGTTTTTCCCCCTTTTTAAAAAAACATCTCAGACTTCATTAGCAGTCCAGATGAGTCTTCTCCAAAGAAAGATTCATTGGATTCAAGAATGCTTGAAGGATATGGCTGTAGGTTTACTACTTAATTTGAAGCTGAAATAGAGATTTTGTAAAAAAGAATATAGTTGCATGGGAAAGTAGTAAAGCATTTTCACCGAAGTGGAAAGATGTAAGAAGGTTTCAGATCACAGAGGCTAAAGGGGGAAGGGCTTCTGTGATAATGAACTGGATCAGTTTTTGGAGAGGATCAGGGTTGGAGATGAAGAGATGTCGAGTGGAAATGCTGAGGTGAGGTGGGGTGCAATGATTACTTGATTTAAAAACTGCCTGTCTGCTGACTGAAGTTTCAAAAATCAATAGAGATCAGGTCTAGAATTGGAAATAAAAATAGGGCTCTCGGCTCTGAAAAAGAAACTTATTTTTTAAAACTGAATTTGTTTGAAACAAAAGCCTCTTTTACAGGAGAACATTTTCAGAAAATCAGAAGACCAATTTCAGCACAATATTAATTAGTCTCCTAGGCTCACTCTGTTACTTGGTAGCTTACAGACCATGGAAAAGTACTCAATTTGAGTTCATTTTTAAATAAACAAAGTCACATGCCCACTTGCAACTAATGAAAATCTGAGTGAGGATCTTGATCTGTAACACTAGCCAGCTGCAATAACACTAACCAGAAGATAACATTAAAGCACCTGATGCTATTAAATTGAATTCTATTAAAGCATCCTGAATCCTCATTATGAATGTTTTGAGAACAGGGAAAAGGTCCTTACAAATTGGAAAGCAGCAATGAAGATGAAAATGGAGAATTACTATTGTTGCTGTTATTGTCAGGTGGTTGAAGTCAGCTTCTGGTTTCAACAAAATTTAACAGGAAATAACCTTTAAAAAATTAAAGAGGGTGCAACATTAATACCCCAGTGCAGTGTCTGTCTGCATGAAAATAAACCCTATTGCATTTACTTCGTGGAGTGTAGGACTGCAATCTAAATTACAGCATAGCTTTTATTATAAAATGGTTGAAAGATATAAATTGAAACTAAGTACTTTTCCTTGGTGTGTAAGCTATTATTTAATATTTATTATTATTAAGCAAATTTTTATAGCTACCCATCTCACCAAAACAACTCTGGGCAGGGAACAATATACATGTGCCTAGCAGCCTAATTAATCTTGTGCTGAAATCTGTCTTCCAATTTTCTGAAATTTTTCTTCCCCTGCAAAATAGCATTTTGGTTTTTTGACCTTCAGCTCACAGTGCTTTAGAGGCCCTATAAAGGTCCATTTGGTGTCATTTTGAGCTAAGATTGCTTGGGCTTTGAGGCCAGGATGACTGGAGCCCCTATCTGAGAGGGGTATGAATGTGAGTTCCTGGTTGCCTATTTACATTTTGGATTTAAACTGAAATCCTGTATCTTGTTCTGACTCTTTGGATCTGTTGTAGACTGCCTGGAGTTGCAATGTTTGATTTGGGTGGCCTTATAAATTATTTGACACAACTTGAATGTTGCAGGAGAGTGAAAGATACAATCACTGCTTTCTTTTAAAACTCTTTTGCTCACCTCTGTTTCCTCCCTGGGTGCTCATGCTTTCCAACTGAACAGTCCCAAAGGGAGCAGTTCATTCATTCATTCAATTTATACAGCCGCCCATCTCAAATACATAGCTCTGGAAGGCTTAAAATGATTAAAAAGAAGATAAAAACAATTATAACAAAGTACTAAATAACATTTATATCAGGCAAGGTTTTTTAAGAAACCCAACCAACAACAATTAACACCACCATGATGCCATTATGAGGACTTTCCTTGGGATTAAATGGAAACATGGGGAGTCAAAGAGGTTGCAGACTGCTGAACAAAGAATCATGGCATAGAAAGCCAGTGATATGGCTTTGAAGAAACTTACAGCATGTAAATTGAGAGGACAGAAGCCTTCCTTAAGTCCTAGGAAGGAAGGTAGTATTAAGAAGAGATTCATGATGACTCTTCCTAGAGTATAACAGGATGGGGAGAAGAAGCACATGCAGAGTTGCAAGGTTCTGTTATTCTAGCCTCTCTCAATAAAATAGAGTTCTGGCATTCCTGTGAAGTCAGTTTCCTTGTCTGGTCTACCTCAAAGGACTGACCCATACAAAGACAGGGTGTTCACACTCAACCCTTGACCATCTTGTAACTGGAAGAATGTCTGGAAGGGTGTGACATCCTATCCTTGAGAAATATACAAAAAAATTATTCTCTTTTGAACAAAAATCAAAATGAATGGGAATAAACCTTTCTCTTCCACATGCATAGCTATTCCTTTGCCTCCTTGGTGAAATGCTTACTGTGATGAAAAGCAACATATACTCTCCTTCCTGCCTGCCTGCCTTTATCCTTTTTCCTTTCTTCTTTCCTTTCTTCTTTCTTTCCATCCTTCCTCTTTCTTCTTTCTTTTGTCTTCCTTCCTTCCATCCTTCTTCTTCTTTCTTCTTTCTTTTGTCTTCCTTCCTTCCTTCCTTCCTTCCTTCCTTCCTTCCTTCCTTCCTTCCTTCCTTCCTTTCCTGGTGCATTGAAATGATTGGCAGGCTTCAGGTATTGTCATAGTAGCTCTGTGTGTGTAGGTGTGTAGGTGTGGGTGTAGGATGCTTACAAAAAAACAAACAGGATGTTTGACTGTGTAATTTACATGCAAAGAACAGTTTCCCACTGTTACTGCTCTTGATGTTTCCTGGAAGTAGTAGCCAAATTGGCTGAAATTTTAGCTCCTTATTCAGTTCCATCAAATCAGTGGGCAGTGGGCCTTCTCTGAAAACCCATATTCTTTGAACCGTAATCTCATGCTGCTTTAGATTACCAGGCTGTGCACTCTTTGAAAGGATAACAGTCTCTCATTACAGCACAGGAACAGAACTGGCTGAAATCTCCTTTTCTGTAACAAGGCTGATGGTTTGAGTGTGTGGGTGTGTTTGTATGTTCGTGCATGTTTCTAGCCCTACTTCAGCAGCTAATTAAAAGAGAAATCTTTACCTATGTTGTTCTGAGCCATTGACTGCTGTTTATAATGCCATTAATTTAAAAGAGAGAGAGAGAGAAGAAATTTGCTCATTACAGGAAATGAGTCATTGGCATCCCAGCTCATTAACAAATGAGCTGAAGACTATTGATAGAATATATATGGATTCTTCTTCAGAAATTCAAGCGAGCATACAGTGCACATACTGAGACTCTTATAAAACAGGAACTGTGGATTAAAAATGAGAGCTCCTCTGAATCTTCTCCAGAGAACTATTTAGGATCCAAACTAGTCAACTAAGTGTTTACTCCTTAGCATGGTTCTCCTTTTTAGCTGCAGCTAACATCTCTGTCTTGGCTTTCCCGTACCACTCCATTTGCCCAAATCTCTAAGGCTCATTTGGGCTAATTATTTCAGCCCCCACTATTTAAAATATAAACCTGAATGTTTCTTCTCCCCCTATTCCCAATATTCTTTGGGTATCGCTTGGCAGAATTGGGTGTGTCAACCCAGCCCAACATGTATCGGGTGATGCAGCCAGGGATGTCTGCTGAAAAGTCAACATGATGGCTGCACGATCAAAGCCCTACTCCTTTTTAACACGTGCCACATGCATAACACTTGTTAAAGAAAGTGGTGGAGTTTTGATCACATGGGTGCAGCCACCATCTTGACTTTTTTGATGCCCGGCTGCCTTGGATACAGCTTTTTTAAAACTGCAGTGAAACTGGTTTGTAGGAGCCAGTGGGCAACCTGAAGGATGGCTAGACATCCCTTCCAGAGAATGGTGCCCCTGTCTGACTTCCCCAAGGAGGTGCATAGGCTGAACCCTAGTGCCAGTTTACCCCTAGCAGCAGTAGCCGTGTATGGCTCCAGGGCCATCAGGAAGAATAGCTTGGGCTGAGGCTCAACTGGAGATAGGCTTGCACCAACTGCAGTCAAAAACAGTAGCAGCCAGAAGCAGCCCTAGTGCTTAGAGTGGTTCTGCATCACTGCTAGGGGTACAAAAAGCCAGCCTGGCACTGCTTCTTCTGCTAGAAGTTCAAGAGGTGAAGATGACCTGTTGGGCCAACTCTGCCCTGCCTCCCACCCCAAAAGTTGTGAATTATCAGTGACTGGTTATTGCCTAATTTAGATGCACTCCTTCTATTAACCAAAGTTTGTTGTCCTGGAAACATCTAGGACAATCAGTGTATTGCTTAAGGTAATCTGGACAGAGAAATTCTAATTTTTTCCTTACCAGTTCCCATTCAGTTTGATATGAGAGAATTTGCATTAGGCATTATTTCAAAGGAGGGTGGGGCACAGAGTTCTTACACTCATCTAGGGATAAAGTGGTTAAGAGGTTCTGTGAATGTCTAATCTCTCATTCTTTAATCCCTGCTAAATTGGAATTCTGCCTTTGGCAATTCATTTGAAGAATTTCAGAGAGGCACCCACCCAGTTTTGCTACCCACAAATTGGGCGG